TTCCATGTGGGCTTTGTTGCTTCTGAGCTAGATGGCCGCTTATTTACCTTCAAGCTCCTAAGACCCCAGACGCTATATCTTTTGATAGCCGGAGCCCTTGATAATTTATGAATTATTATTTTCTTCTAATGTCTAGGTTGTCTGTTCACTTCTGATGAAGTCCTTTATACACAAATATTTTCATTTTTATGAAGTCTGGTTTCTAAGTTTTGTGCTTTTCGCATATTTAGGTTATTGATCTACTTTGAATTAGTTTTTGTGTATGGTGTCTGATAGGTGAGGTGTGAGTCACTTGGCTGGCCCATGATTTTCAGTGGTTTGGAATTTATGTATTGATGTAGTTTGGACACCTACTTCTGACTCATCCACTCTTATTACCCTGTATTTCACATTTAGGCCAATAGTAAAAGTCTTTCTATTTTGCCCACTAATGATGCATGTCTGGCCGTAATGAACGTGAAAGTATGAGGCGAGAGTAATGGTGGTGAGGACTGAGGTTACACTCAGCGTGGCTGGGCCGTGAATCTTTGTGGTTTGGCAGTTATGTAATGAGGTAGCCATTTTCCATTTGGTAACTTGACATAGTCAACCCCCATTTGACGTGGAGCATGAGATAAGAGCGGGGGTTTTTATGTAAATCTGCCGCCTTCCATGTCTGCTTACCGCTCACAGCCTCCTGAGAGACATTTCCTAACAACACCATCTAAAAATAACCTGGTACAGCAGTACTTAGGCAAAGACCTCACAGGAGTAGGGTGCATATTTTTACACAAACAATGTTGACAAAGTTGTGTTGCTTTTTTTCCTGTAAAAATATGGTCAGTGCCTTTGGTGTTAGCTTTTGTCAGGCAAGCTTCCGGTGTGCTTTTAGAACTTTATACATAAAAACCGTATGATTTTACGGTGATAGTTGATATATGGAAAAAGCTGTAAAGGTCATTCATTTCTGAATGTTTACTAGAATATTTTAGTTTAAAAGTTTAGTAGATGCTTAAATAAATATAGTTGATTTCAAATTGACGTTCTAGGTGAAGAAGCTTAGTTCTGAGTTTTTTTTCTGATTATTAACATATTTTCTTGTTAATGTCCCCTAATAACAAAGGATCCAAGTGGGCTGACTCTAGTGATGCATGCTGCAGCTGGAGGACAAGATGACCTCTTGAGACTGCTTATCAAGAAAGGAGCCAAGGTTAATGGGAGACAGAAGAATGGGACGACGGCTCTGATTCACGCAGCTGAGAAGGTCGGGGGCTGGACAGTGTGTCCTTTGTCACAGTTTGCAAGGGAATGCCTCACGGTGGGAAAAGAGAGCCGAAGGGAACATAATGGGGGTGGGGAGTGAGGTCATACCATCCCATACCTGTGTCATTGACATTTCAGTTGTTCATTGACTTGTAATGAGTGGATGCTTTCAGCCACAGTGGGACGTTGTAATTAAATTATCAAAAATGGATTTCTCATTGCAAGTGATTTATATGAAATCACTTAAGATTTTGATGTTTCCTTTGTTCAATAACTTAACTAAAATGTTCCCATTTACTATCTCTTCGAAGGACCTAGCCACAGAGACTCTTATATTGAAACCAGTGATTGTAGTCCAGGTTGAACTTGCTGCCTAAGAGGGTAGGCCTTCGAGCCCAGGAGCCAGGAGGGCCCCATTTACAGTACCATCCCATGCTTACAGCAAAATCACAGTGGAAAATGGAAATAATCTATTCAGCAACCTGCTTGAGATAGAATCTGATGATGTCTAAACATTTAACAATATTTTAAAGCATCTTTTAAAGAATTCTAGGAATTTGACTTACTGTGTTTGTTTGTTTGTTTTTAATAGAACTTTCTGACAACAGTGGCTATTCTTTTGGAAGCAGGAGCTTTTGTAAATGTCCAGCAGAGCAATGGGGAGACTGCGCTAATGAAGGTAAATACATTGCACGGAGCAGGTGTTCATGATAGGAACTGCACTTACCTCCCTCGGTGCTGGGCCTCGGGAGAGAGACAGGGCTTCTACTCGCATAAAGAGTGACAGTCTCGGAAACTCAGAGGGGCACTTCTACCCTGTCCTATAGGGTCGCTATGAGTTGGCATCGACTCAGTAACAGTGAGTTTTTGTTTTGCTTGTACTGGGCCCTGGACATATGAGGAGGAACAAGGTCACCTGTGGACTCAAGCAGCTCACGGATGAGCAGGAGACCGAGACTCGTAAACAAGCCATCCTGTGCTAGGAGGGTGCATAAAAGGAGACGGAGCTGGGTCTCAGGGAAATCTTGGTGGTGAATGGCTCAGCTGGCCCATTGAAAACAAAGGGGGAAATGGACCTAGGTGCATATATTTATAGGTTTAGTAGTAGGGTGGCAGGTGGGCATTGGGCCGCCTCATGCGCATTCCCTTAATACAAGAGCACCTTGCTCAGCTAAACAGTCATTTCATGATACCCACCTTCCCGACAAGATCGCTGAAGACAGACGTGTGCATAAGCAAATGTGGTGAAGAAATCTGATGGTGCCCGGCTATCAAAAGATAAAGCGGCTGGGGTCTTAAAGGCTTGAAGGCAAACAAGCGGCCATCTAGCTCCGAAGCAACAAAGCCCACAGAGAAGAAGCACACGAGCCTGTGTGAACATGAGGTGTTGAAGGGATCAGGTAGCAGACACCAAAGAACAAAAACCATCATTGTGTGACCACCCTCCCCACATAACGCTGAAGATGAATGTGTGCATAAGTAAGTGTGGTGAAGAAGGCTGATGATGCCCAGCTATCGAGACCTATCATATCGTAAATGAGGGTGGTGCGTGATGGGGACCCAATGCCCATCTGTAGACACATGGACATCCCTTGCAGAGGGGTAGTGGAGAGGAGATGAGTCACTGAGGGTTCAGTGTAGCAATAATGAAACTCACAACCTCCCGCTAGTTCTTAAATGCTTCCTCCCCCAACTACCATGATCCCAATTCTGCCTTGCAAACCTGGTTAGACCAGAGGATGCACAGCAGTACAGATGGGAACTGGAAACAGGGAATCTAGGACAGATGAACCCCTCAGGACCAGCGGTGAGAGTGGCGATACCAGAGGGGGGCAAGAAAGGGGGAATCAATCACAAGGATCTAGCTATAACCTCCTCTCTGGGGGATGGGCAGCAGAAGGGTGGGTGAAGGGAGACGCCAGGCAGTGTAAGATAAGATAAAATAATAATTTATACATTATTAAGGGTTCGTGAGGGAGGGGGAAGCGGGGAGGGAGGGGGAGGGGAAAAGGGAAAATGATCTGATTCCAGGAACCCAAGCGGAAAGTGAGTTTGGAGAATGATGAGGGCAACGAATGTGTGAGTGTGCTTTATTTACATAATTGATGTATGTGTGGATTGTGATAAGAGTTGGATGAGCCCCAATAAAATGATTTTTAAAAAGAAAACAAATAGAAGCTCATGAGGGTGGGGTACTTGAGGTAGCCAGAAAGGCACAGAGCAGGAGTGGATGTTAATGACACAGAAAGGGGCCCACTGCATTTGTGTGTGCCAAGACTGGTAACTGAAAGAGACATACTGAATTTTCATTACTCTTCGACCTTGGTAAATTCTTCACTTGACACATCTAAAACACACACACACAACCCACCCCTGTTACTAATTTTCCCTGAGTGGGTAGTTTTAGATTAGCCTCGACTTTGAGCCCCCCGCCCCCCACTCATTCACCAATAGGCATGTCTAGTGTCCTGCGCCAAGGTGCTGTTAGGACACAGCGTGTCCAAGCAAGTCCCCAGTCACGCACAGAGAGGCGTCTACAGGAACTTATCTCGGCCGCCCTTCATGAGTGACGCTGCACACTTTGGAGCAGAGTGCTTGGCCCTGGGCCTTATCTGTCACTGTTATTGCCGCTGTTACTCTGCGGGACGGGCTCACCAGCACTGCTGGCCCCTTCAACCTGTGCTTGCGCTGATTCTGAGCCTGTTGTGCATCCACTGTCAGTCTTTCTCTTGAAGGTTTTCCTGCTTTGGGCTGAACCCTCTACTTTCCCAGGGACTGCTCACTTCAGATAACATGCCCAAAGTACGGTAACGATGTCTCGCCATCCTCGCTTCCGGGCGAACTCAAGCTGTACTTCTTCCAAAACTATTTGTCTATTCTTCTGCCTGTTGGCCATACTTTGAATATTCTTCACCAACACCATAATTCAAATACAGTGATTCTTCTTTCAGCACTAGCTCTGACAGTTTTTCAAAGCAGAGAATAGCAGAAAAATGTTTTGTGTTTTACTGACTGTGCCAAGCATTGGACAGTGTGGATCCTAACACTGGATGACCTCGAGAAGAAAGGGCATTCCAGAACACTGCATTGTGCTCCTTCAGAACTCGTGCATGCATCCAGAGGCAGTGTGGGCACAGAACAAGGGAACACCACATGGTTGAAAATCAGGAAAGGTGTGCGATGTGGGTTGTATCCTCTCACCACACTTGTTCAATCTGCATGCGGAGCAAATCCTCAGAGAAGCTGGATTCTATGAAAAAGAATGTGGCATCAGGATTAGAGGAAGGCTTATTAACCTGCTATATGCAGATGACAACCTTGGCTTGCTGATGGTGAGGAGGACTTGAAGCACTTGCTGAGGGAGGATCAAAGATTGCAGCCTTCAATATAGATTATGTCTCAATGTTAAGAACTCCAAATCCTCACAACTGGACCAATATGTGACACCGTAATCAATGGAGAAAAGGTGGACGTTGTCAAGGGTTTTGTTTCCTGGGATCCCAATCAAGGCTCAAGGCGGCAGCAGTCACGAGATCACGTGATGCGTGGTATTAGATAAACCTGCTGAACAAGACTAAGAGTATAGAAAAGCAAGGATGTGATTTTGAAGGCTGACCCAAACCCATGGGATTTTCCATTGCCTCATTTGCAATTGAAAAAGTTGGATATTGAATAAGGAAGACCAAGGATTGTTGATGGTTTGAATTGTAGTGCTGGAAAAGACTATTGAAAGTACCAAAGACGGCTAACCTGCTACAAGGACAAACTGATGTGTCTTGGAAGAAGTAAAGCCAGCATGCTTCTGAGAGGCAAAAATGGTCAGACTGACCTCATCTTAATGTACTTTGGACACGGCGGGCTCCGGCACAGGAATGAATGTTTGCGCAGACGGCAGGACCAGACCTGACAGCGTTCTGTTCCGTTGTGCGTAGGTAGTGTGACTGTGAGTTGGAACTGACCAGAGAGCACCTAACAGCAATAGTTTGTCTTTAGTCTCAACTGTCACATGCTTTGGAAAACGGAAAACGTGAGTCTCAAAAGAATTGAAAGACTGACACAGGACTAACAGGGACAAAAATAGAACCGCTGACCTGGGCGTTTTTAATCCCAAAATGGTCTTTGTCATGACTCCAACTAAATTTGTATTTATGCTTAAAGAGCCCTCCCTGAAAGCAGCTGCTAGAAATGTTTTGTGGTCCTGAGAGGTGATTTCGTTTCCCTCTAGGACCCATCACGGCATAGCCAGCAGCTTGGGGCAGCAGGTCTTGTTCTCAGTCACGGTGCAGGTCACAGAGACGGTAGCCTGGTGTACCCTGTGCCTGAAGTGGATAGGTCCTTTGGCTGCCTGCTTGCTCAGGCATCTTAGCAGCGAAGAAAGTGATAGAATATCTACAAATGGTTTCTCTTTGGGCTGTAAAGCAATCCTGAGAATTGAAATAGCGTGCAGATGAAACACCCAGCGTGAGGCCGAGCTCTGAAAGGGTCGGGCCAGGACTCCATGTTCATCCCCTCCACAGCGCGCACCCAGGCAGGGGTGCAGAAAGGAACAAACATGGATTGGTACTTACCAAAAGTCTTACACTTTACATCAAATTCTCACCCTTCTTCCTGACCCAGGCCTGCAAAAGAGGAAACTCGGACATCGTGCGGCTTGTGATCGAGTGTGGGGCGGACTGTAATATTCTGTCCAAGCACCAGAATAATGCACTGTATTTTGCTAAGCAGAGTAACAACGTGCTGGTGTATGATCTGCTGAAGAATCATTTAGAAACGTAAGTAGGAGGTGAATAGGCCCGAGTTAAATCAAGCATCTCGGTTTTTACTCGTTGTAATTAGTACAGTCTCTCTGTAACTGCTCAGAAAAAGATGGTCCAGGAAAAGTGCTGGTGGGTTCTGTTCGCAGCACAGGGGTGAATGCAAATGCCTGCCTTGGGCTGCTAATTGAAAGGTCATCAGTTGGAGCCCCCCAGTGGATGCGGCGGTCGGTTTTCATAAAGATTGATGGCCTCTCAAACCTTGCGGAGCCGTTCGCTCTGTCCTGTGCGGAGCAGTGCTTTGGGTTTTAACTGCCTGCGCTCAGACCAGATGTCCCCAGATGGCACTGATGAGTGTTGTCTCGCTCAACTAAGCACTGAATGAGACTTGGCGTGTGCATGGCAAACCTTCCTTAGTTGATTTCTCTAGATTCTCCTTCCTGGTTTTTCACTAACCAAATATGTACTAAGCACCCACTTTTTCAGGCTCTGTTCTTAAGGCTGTGGATATGGAAAGCAGGAGAGAAAGACCTTCCCTTCTTGAAATTCAATTCCATTTAGAGGAGATAGACAATAAGAGCCTAGTTTGTCAGGTGGTGAGTGCTAAAGAGGAAGCAAGCAGGACCAGTGTTGACTTGATTGTAAAAGGTTGGTCAGACACAGTCTCACGCTCCCTAGTAGAATAGATTTATGGCTCATGGTTCGGGTCCGCGTTAACATTGAGAATTCTACCTGTACTTTTTTATTAGACTTTCGAGAGTCGCAGAAGAGACAATAAGAGATTACTTTGAAGCACGGCTTCTTCTACTAGAACCGGTTTTTCCAATAGCGTGTCATCGTCTCTGTGAAGGTCCAGATTTTTCAACAGAATTCAATTACAAGCCTCCACAGAACATACCTGAAGGTAAACCTGTGCTTTCTCTCTGAAACATGACAGTATAAAAATGAACTGGTTTTACACAGAACCTTTCTTTGAAGAAAACCTAAAGGAAATTCCATTATACATAATGATGTGAACTCCTTACCAGCAGCGCTGCCCTGACAGCTAAACTGCTATGGCAGTAACCGAGGAGGCCCTGTGGAGCACCGTCTAACAATCACTAAGAATCAAGTGGGAAAGAAGAAAGGATAATATTTACATAAGCTGAGCCTTGAGACTTTTTTTTTTTAATTTATCTTTGAACCGAAGGAAACCTCAATGAAATTCCATGACAATAATATAGTTTTAGAAGGTGATCGACGTTTTTCCTGAATCTTATGATTGCTTAGTCACTGGATTAACATGCCCTTTTGGAAATAATTCCGTAATATCTATCTTGCTCTGCAGTAAGTTTTACTAAGGGAAGGCAACATCAGAGCTATTTCCCAGGCTTTGTAACGCCAGCAGCTACCTTCTCAAGGAGGCACACGAACAAGTTCAGTAGGAGCCAGGATCCTGTGAAAAGTGGAGCTGAAATGCCCCATTCCCCCTTCAGAAGCTACTTAGGGACCCACAGGCTTGTTTTGGCCACACAGGAATCTATGGAAACCACGAATTAGATGTGCTGAGTGGGTTTGAACCACCATCCAAGCTTAGCACTGGACCACTGTGCCCCAGGGTGCCTTGGCCAGGGTGTCATGCCTGACAATTCTGCTAAGGAAAAGCATGGCCCCGCTGGTTCAGGACAGCTAGTCTTTGCTTTCCGGTCAGGCTTAGCTGGTTTTCAGAGAGGCGCGTTCAGTAGTTTCCACGCATTCTTTCCCCACGGACACCGTGAACCAAGTACATTTTCATTCTGCTCTTGATGGCTGGCCTAGGTGAGTGTAGTTTGTTGACCATGGCTGGTTGACCATAAAGGTCATTGAGCTCATACATGTCTGTCACATTTTGTTGAGAGCACGCACAGCGCAAAGCAGACTCGCGTTTCTGCACGTGCCAGGAGGGGCGCAGCTGTTCTCACCTTCCTTTTCCGAGCTGTCCTTCCTGTATTAGCATACACTCACCGCCCCCAAGGGTCCCATCTCCTCTTTGATTGCCTGTATGGCATGAGATGTTGGCACAATGCTCAATGTCCATTTTGTGACAGATCCCTTATCTCAGGCTCTTTAATAAAATGTATCTTTCTCACTTCCCCAGGCTCTGGTATCCTACTGTTTATTTTCCACGCAAACTTTATTGGTAAAGAAGTCATTGCTCGGCTCTGTGGACCATGTAGTGTACACGCTGTAGTTTTAAACGATAAATTTCAACTCCCCATTTTTCTGGTAAGATTTTTTTTGTAGCTCAATACTGTAAATTATTATATCAAAAGTACAAAGTAATTGTTTTAAATCCGTTGTCATGGAAACAAGTCATTAAAATTCAGTAAGCCAGTTGCAAACTGTAATCATAAGATTATCCTGAACGACGTCAACGGAAATAAAAAATTTTTGTGACTTTAAATTATGCTTACTATAGTAGTGGGAAAAGGCATATTTTAAACCAGGCAATTTATTTCTTATGACCGCAAAATCTTCCATATTCCAAATAGGTTACGATCCAGGTCATGACACTCACTCAAAACTCACTTCAAGTCAGTGCCCCGGGGGGGTGCTGAGTCAGCGGAGGCGCTGAGGGAATGTCATGAGTGCCTGGGTCTCTAACCATTAGCTTCTGTGGTTACCAAGTGTGTGGAATAAAATAGCGTGATGTTCATTTAAGGAAAATTCACAAAGAAATGTATCTATTCGTGCTTCTGGTACCTAAGTTGAAGCCCTTTACTGATGTTGACTGATTGTATCTATGCTTATTTGATTAAGAGGGACCTTCAGAAAGTTTGTGGGAAAGGCCCGTTATCTTTTCATTTTTCACATACAAGTGGCTAAACGGTTAAGTCCACATCGAACTTTTGCCGCATTGAGGATTCTTTCCCTAAGCTGAACTAAAGTTAACTGGGTATGAGCATGTTTAACATTCTGCCTACATGTTCGTCATACATATCTCTTTGGATACTGGCTCTCGGTAGATGAACATGTTTAACACTCCTGCTGTTATACATAGCTGCACACAGATTAGTCATAAACATTTCTCTGGATACTGGCTTTCCAGATAAATTTTGCAAGATTTTATGGGGGGTTATTTGCATCTTTCTAGTAAATTGAGGGGAAAAATAAACCACAGTATATTGACTAACAAAAATCAAATATATTTTCTAATGTTTGTGTGACATCCTTTGAAGTCATCTGAGTCTTAAAGGTGTCGGCTATTATAAATGTAAGGTAAAAGTTCATGGAAAAATACTGGCATCATTTCTTGATTTCTTTCTGTTTTAGGATAGTCATTTTATTTATTCATTCAGCCCTGTTGCCGGCCTCAATAAACTCGTCTTAAGGTTATCAGAAGCACCGTCTGCTAAGGTGAAAATAGCTTCCTTGTATTTATCATCACTAGAAACCATTTCAAGAGGGTCTGTCCTCAAGAAAAGTACACCCTGAGTTAGCAACAATAGGTGAATCAATCTACTTGTGTTTATGGGTCTAAATCATGTCAGACATAGTGAAGAGAAGACTTCTAAGTCAATTCTGACCCATAGCAATCCTACATATAGCAAAAGAAACACTGTCCGATCAAACCTGTGACATCCTCACAGGCCACTTAAAGGTTTTGATATTTACTCAGGGTTTTGAACCAGTTCAAAAGAGTTCAGACACAGAAACAAGGGCAGCTTATACTTTCCATAGCAACCAAATCTCTGGCATATCAGATGCTGACCAAGTACGAAACTGGTGGTGGTGCCTCACACAAGACTGACGCACAACACGCAGAGTACCTAGGCTGGTCATCATCTGTCAGTAGGGCCCATGTGTCCTCATTTCTATGAGCCCTGACCAAAGCACATCAAGCTGGGACGAAGCCAGTGTAGGGTGTTTTGGGCTTCTTTTCTGGAAAAGGAGGGTGTCTACTTCTGTACTGACATGTTGTTTTTGGTTTGTTTTTCTTACAACAGGTAAAGTTGCTAATAGGTGCCTACAGAGTGCAGCTGCGGTGACCAAAGGATAGGTCTTTCCAGAGCCAATATTACATTCTCCCTTCAAGCACTTGGAATTCTTCTGGCATCTGTAAACCTCTTGCAGTTCCACACCTGTAATCTGCTGGAGTCTGTAAGATGGGACATGGTTGTCCTAGTGGATTCTAAAGTACTTATAGAGATGGGTTTTCTCACCCATATCCTACCTTCTCAGTGTTGTAGTGTCTAGACTGTGTATTCCAGTTTTCCACAATGTGGAATGCTAAATGAACTCTACTTAGGAAATTAAAGAAGAAATCTTTATTAAATTTCAGTTTCCTACTAGCCCTGGAGAATTTTCTGGGGGGAGGGGGAGGGGAGAACAGCAACAGAAATGAGGCAGGAGAGGAACGTATTGTTTTTATTTGCTTACATCAAGGGAAGCATATTACATTCAAGATGCCTAGCACTAGGTAAGTGGAATTGCTGCCCTTGAATAATGACTGGATATGCGGGAGCAGAGGTCCTGCGTGGGTATAATATACAGTTGCTATGGATTGAGAGAGGAGCCTGTTGGCAGAGTGGGTTAATGCTAGGCTGCTGCCTCAGTCACCCAGGACTTTCTAGTCCTACCAAGAGTTAGTCTTAGAAATCCAAGGAACAGCTCCACTCTGCCCTGCATGGCCCTCATGAGTCGAAGTTAACGCCATGGCAGTGAGTGTGGGTTTCCTAGAACAAAGGTTGGAATTGACAGTAACTGCAAATTTGAGGGGTTCTTTGCAAAGTAGCTAGATGATAGGTACTCTCTGAATCTTAAGTTGTAAACCAGGGCACTAGCCCTGAAGGAGAAATTTACTATAAACTTTCGTCCGTACTCTTGGGATCCACCAAGCCGTTATTTTGAATATTGGGAAAAGCCTAAATCCCGCCTGTGCCTTAGAGCCCTGGCTGCTGCATCAGAGCGCACCGTGTGCTTCTGTGGGTGGTCACTCCATCAGTGGATGGTGTGCAGGTCTGAGCTCTTAGGTCCTTCCAAGACAGATTTTCCAACACAAATCAAGCCAGCTTGTACAAATAGTAACTGTCACCTGATATTAGACATTTCACAGCCAAGTTTATATCCTAACACTGCCTTTTTTCATTTTCTCAATAAAATACAACGTTGGCCTCTTTCATTTTTTTTCTCTCAATGTGGAGCCCCAGTAGATTAAGGTGGGTGGGTGAGAACTGTGCTTTTCAATTTAGTGAGGGCTGAGAATGGGCTTTTACAACGAAATTGAATCGTGTATTGGTATCCGATTGGATATCGTAGCCTTCTGGGCAAGACAAAAGGTGGTCTTGGTCAGGGCAACTACATATATGAGTTTGTAATTGCAATTTCTTTTGTTCCAGAATCATGGTTAGGATATGAGCAGAGAAGTATTTATTAGAATACACACTCCTTTAGAAGCTTAGGCTGAAAAGTAATGGGGAGGCTCTGAAAAGTGAAGTGTGAAATCTTGGATCTTAGGGAGGAAACTACATTTGGAAAGTTGGGTTAACTTAATTTTCTAATAATGACTTGATACAGGGACAGAGAAAGAAAAACATGTTAAAGTTTGAGATAGAATGGGTTGTCTCCTATGTCAGCTCCCGAATCCTTCCCCTTAAGCCCTGGTGGTGCTGTCAGCCAAGTGATGGACTGCTAACCTCAAGGTCAACAGTTGCAGTCCACCAGCAGCTCTGGGAGTGTTTCAGCCTTGGAAACTATATGGAGCCACCATGAATCAGAATCAACTCAGAGGTTTGCTTTTTGCCATCTCGGGCTTTTAAGTTTTGTGCCACGTTGCACCTAAAGTTAGTCTTAAGCATACAGCACACGTGCATTCTCTCTCATCCTGGAGTGAAGCCTGAGGGATAAAAGGTGAGTATTCTCATGTGTTAACAATGAAAAGGGTTTTAAATTCAAGTTAGGGCAACCTGTCTGATGAGGCAGCAACCACCCAGGGTAGGCAGTGCTGGGAAGTGCCGGTGATCTCTGAGGGAGGAAGTCGTGCTCTGGTAGCACCTTACCAGCTTAGTGAATGTACACTGAGTTCTGCAGGCCGAGCCCCAAACCATCTCCTAACATCGTTGACGGGTGTCACTATAGCAATTAGTGCAGGGTCAGGCGATCTCACGACCACTGAATTATTCTTTGACAAATACAATTTCATACCAACACTATAATTATCCTCTGAAGTCTTTCAGTTCAAATGTGTGGAATTTATGGGGGGAGGGGGTGCTCAGGTGTTGCTCCGTGACGTCTAACCAGCTGTAGACTTCGAGCTTGTCAACGTCAGGTTGCTGCTGCTGCAAAGTGCGGTCGGGTCGGCTCTGTGCCAGAGCGACCCCATGCACAAGGGAACAGGACACCGCCCGGTCCTGTGCCCTCCTCACAGGTGTTCCAGTGCCTGAGCCATGGGTGGTGCAGCGCTGTGTCCATCTTTCTCGTTGAGGGCCAGCTCTCACCAGTGCGCCACTTTATCAAACATGATGTCCTCCAGGAACATCCTTGCTTTTCAATACTCCAAAGAGGTCTTGTGCAGCAGATTTCTCTACTAGGTCTTTTGATCTCTTGGCTGCTACTTCCATGAGCCTTGATTATGGATACAAACAAAATTAAATCCTTGACAACTTCAACTTTTCTCCATTGATCACGATGTTCCCTATTGGTCCACTGTTGTGAGGATTTGGGCCTTCCTCACATTGAGTTGAATCCATACTGAAGGTACAGTCCTTGCTCTTCATCGGCAAATGCTTCAGTTCCTCCTCGCTTTTAGCAAGCAAGGTTGTGTCATCTACATATTGCAAGTGGGTAATAAGCCTTCCTCCAATCCTGATGCAGCTCTCCCAAATTTACATCTGCCAGAACACAGCATATCAATGCTGGCAAGATCCAAAATGCCTAATAAAATATGTTTAAAAAAATACTAATTCTTTAGAATAAAGCATAAGGGAACTACTGTGTATTTTGCCAGGATAAAGTATTTTGTAAGTTGTATTAGTTCATGCATTGAATCTATTTCATAGCATAATACAATTTAAATCCCAGACATTAGTTGTGAAGTGATGAATCTCGAGTCTGCTCAGTAAATGCAGAGGGCGTGGAAGTGGATTGTCTTTGCTGCTGACTTGCAGACAATGCTTTACAAAAATCTGGGCTTTCTAAACTCAAGTACAAACCAAAGTCACTGCCATCAAATCCATTCTGACACACAGCAACCCAGTAGGACACAGTAGAATCGTCCCTGTGGTTTCAAGGCTATAAGATGAGTGGCTCCTTATCATTCACCCCCACTGGGTTCAGATCGCTGCCCAACACCAAACCAACTGCACCACCAGGGCGCCTCTTAGTGGACAAGAGCCTTACTAATAAACTAGGAAGGAAAAACAAACCACTGTCATTGCATACTGACCCTGTGGGTATCCGAGACTGTAACTATGGGAGTGAAAAGTCCCATTTCCCATGGTGGATTTGAACCGCTGATCTTGCAGTTAACAGCCCAACATGTAACCACTACACCATAGGGCTCCTGGAAGAAACTTGCAAGGTGTAATGATACTCTGAACACTCAGTGAACATTCTCATGAAGAGGTGGATGCCTGGGCAGTCGCACACACACTTGGGGCTCCGTCCGAAATTGAAGTCTGCCCACCTCTTGGCATCCATTTGGAGTAGAGAGCATCTATCACCGAGACGCACTGCCGCCTCCGCTCATTAACCGATGATGGCTTTTCTTGGAGCAGCAGGAGCTGCTTTACATTTCAAATAAAATTTGTTCTCTGACATTGGGGGCTGAAGTCCTCCAGAGAACTGTTCTGTAAAAACAACCCTCTAGAGCAGCAGTTCTCAATGGATTGGCGGTGACCCCTCTGGGGGTTGAATGACCCTTTCATAGAGGTCCCTCGATTCCTAAAAGCACAATTACAGTTATGAAGTAGCAACGAAAATAACTGGATGAGGGGGGGGGGGTGTCACCACTACATGAACTGTATGAAAGGGTTGCAACATGAGGTAGGTTGCAAACCACTGCTCTAGAGGGTCCCAGGTACATTAACCAGTGAGACACCACCACACTAGGAGGCAGGTAGTGATTTATTGAATGGATTCAAATTGCAAACAAAGCTTAAGACTATTTCCAACACAGCAGGCAACCCCTAAGAACTCATTTGCCCTTTCTGTAGATTTTTACCTTCACTTTGAAACCATTAAACCAACCCCTACCCAAGAAAACCAAATAAACTGTCATCCAAGTCACTGAGGAGAGCGACTGCCTAAAGATTTCTGAGATGGTCTTTATGGGAGCTGACAGCCTCATTTAACTCACCCAGCAGGCCAACAGGGCTACTTGTAACAAAGTACCTTCCAAGAATCACCTTCACTTCCTGCACATGTAGCTTATCTTGTTAATTCAAAGGCTTTGAGCTTATTCTTGCACAAAAGCCAAATATGTGACCATCGAGTAGATTCTGTTTTCTATCAACCCTGTAAAAACAGTCTATGGAAGCAGGCAACCACTTTCTGCAGGGCCACGGGCGGCTCAGACGAGACCGTTCAGCCCACTGCATACGCCACCTATGGTGCTCTTGCTTCGCAGGAAGACCACATCTTATGCCTCTGTTCCAACAAAGCTACAACTCTGATGAAAAGACACAAACAAGATTTCGCTCAGGACTGCCTGTGCACAGAACGTGTGGAGGCATTTATTAAACTCAAGTGTGGAATATGAATCTTCGGAGTTGTTTCTCCCGTAAAGTGATTTGACCTGGAAAAAAAAGCAAGAATTGTTTGTTGTTTGTATTTCTCTAAAGGAGAACTAGCTTTTCATTACTGAAAAAAAATTAGCTGGATTAGAATTACTGAGCAGCAGACTGGAGAACGATCTCATTCAAAAGCAATTACTTTAGCACATTATTTTTTAAGGAGTCAGTGAATTACGTGACGGTTTACAGAGCAGATCATCGACCGATAGTGAGCTCATGTACAGATGACCCAAATGCTGAACCGTTAAAATGTGCCGATACACTAAAACGGTGGTTCTCAAAACAGGGCCTGCTGGGAATGTAGTCTCAGGACCTGAGCCTGCCGCAGCCCTCTTTTCCACTCCCAGTCTTTAACAAGCCCACATGATACTGATGCGCTGCCTTCCCGCACTGCTTTACAGATCACCTGAAAGTGAAGACGGACACTACCATGGAAATGGCAGTTTCTTAACTAGATAGTACTAAGGTTCGGTAGCTCTCACTTCTCTAGGAACCAACTGTATATTTGGCTTCATTTTATCTTGAAAACCAGAACTTTTAAATAAAAGTATTCTATTTAGTGACTCAAACGACATAAAGCAAGCGTCCCCCCATCACAAACATACTTGATAAATGTGCATGCAAGCACATGTGCTCAGTCTGTAGACAGTTTATGTGGGTTACCTTTTTTCCTGTCCATATATATTTGAGGGGAGTTTGTTCTTAAAATGTATTGCCCAGAGTTTCCTGTTCAGTGGACCTCATGTGGGGCCAGACCACGGCACTAGTCACAGGTGCTCGGATGAAGACCCTCATCACAAAATGAGCTCTGAAAAGCACTCCCTGCCCGAGGCTAATTGTCTAGAGTTGGGCAACTGGGACTCAACATTGCGCGCTACACGGGGTTGGTGTCAAAGAGAAGCTTTGAAAAGATGATTTCCCTGGTGCTTTCCCAACATGCGGACCAATACCATGCCATCTCGTTGAAATCGGGTGTCTTGTGGTGTCACATGTATCACCAGTTAAGGGAGAACTATTGGGACCTGTCAAGATGACATCCATGTCAAAATCCTGTCACAAAAGATTTCACCGAAAGAGTAAAGACAACTTGAAAACTAGAAGAAAAAAACGAAACTTGACAACTGCAAATCAGAAGAGGGAGCAAACTGAAGCTGATGGAGAACTCAACAAAAAGACCATCTATTGTTAAAATGGGCAGAGGACACAGCACCAGAGAAGACATTGAGGCAGTCAAAAAACTGAAGAAATATTGACATTCATTTAGCCACTGACGATATTAGATGTCAAGCCAGTTCCAACTCTGGCCCAGTTCTGGGCCGTCTTCACAATTGTTCCCTGCAACCCCACTGTTGCAGTCACGATCATCTTATCGAAGGTCTTCTTTTCCTCT